TAAACTGACTTTAGTATGTGTATTTATAAATGTAAAAAGGGACCTTAGATTGTAAGCTCATTAAGGGTAAGGGCTAATGTTAAAGTGGAAGTAAACTCTATTTTGCATCTTTTACCTACAGGTAAGCCTTTAGGAAGGCTTACCTGTAGGTACTGTAAATATCTCCTAAACGTGCACCCAGTGATGCATTTAGGTTTTGTGCTGCCCTAGGCAACACAAAAATTGTCTTCCCCCACAGACACGACCAACACTACCACCCCTCCCCATCCCCCTCCCACGGAGAGATCCTGACACTGCCCAACTACACCTCGGCCCCCACCTTGGAGAACCTTCCACTACCCCCCGAGCAATAGAGAAAGACACCCATCTTCACAGCTCCGGACATCCTCGGGAATGAGAGTCAGGCTCTACATACACCATCAAGCAACCCACAGCCTCTCTCGGATCCCACCTGGTTCCCATGGAGCATGTGCCCCTTCTTCCATTCCTTTTTCTGGGGGGATGTGCTGCCCCTGAACAATGTCGCCCTAGGCAAGTGCCTTGTTTGGTAAATACGCCCCTGCGTGCATCGTTTAAGAGATTTTTACTGCAGCAGCGCCAGTGATGTCATCGGCGCAGGCGCACTGAGCTCTCATTGAGAGAGCTGTGCCGCAACCGAAACTCCCTTCGTGCATGTCGCAGCTTGTGAACATGGAAGGAAGACCAGGTGAAGATGGAAGCCTCAGGGAGCCATGACAACAATCCACTGGAGGGCTTTGTTTTCAGGTAAGTTTTTCATAATGTGCTAGTATGTGATGCATACTAGCACATTATACTCTTAATTTGCAATGAGAAGATTTTTATAAAAAATGTTTTCGACTTATTTCCGCTTTAGTATATATATATGTGTGTATGTGTGTGTGTGTGTGTGTGTGTGTGTTTGTGTGTGTGTGTAAGGCACTGTGTTGCATCTGTAATAAAAAAATAATAAGTAAGTAAACCATGTTGCCTATCTGGCATCCCAAGACCGTGACTATGCCTCTGGCCATTGGTAAGTCTAAGCCCAGTCTGCTGGTGTGGGGTCTGTGAACTCCCAGTGGAACACCCTAAGTGGAAATAAAGTGTGCCAAAAGCAACTAAGTTCCTGGGCAACACCAGGCAGCAAAGTACTGTAAGCACTGGTGGAGACTTCCTTCCACAAGTGCAGGTCCCTGTTGGTCAGGCCAGGTGAGAGGTTGTGCCACACATGGGGCTCTCCCCTCTTAAGTCAGCTTTAGTCGATTTCTTCCTCTTGATAACTGTGCTTCCTGTCTTTCTCTGGACACCTCATGGCTCTCTGCAGGATGGGCTCTCTGTTTGGGGTGCTGCCCTATATTACACTGTTGATCCCCGTCCTGTCCCTCTAGAAATCAGTCCACAGGACTGTACACCAATCACAGCAGCACAACAGTCTCTCCTGCAGTAGCTGGATCTCTGTAGCACTCTCTGCTCACACAGCAGCAGATCCCAGCAGCACAACAACTCTCTCTCAGCTTTCCAAAGTCATCTAGCAGCACTCATGGCTCTCCACTCCCAAGCATGGGCTCTTCTTCCCAAGCAGGAACCAATGAGGGTGGTTTAAGCTGAAAGCTGTGGCTTCAGCCAACCAGAGTCCTGGTGTCTCTATGCTACCTTCTGTGGTATTCAAAAACATGGCCACTGTCCCTCCTGTCTTGAGGACATTTTTCCTTCAGCCCTGGTTCCGGTGTGTGGGAGTAAAGCCTAGCCTGCGCCAATTAAGTTCATTCTTCTCTACCTTCACCTGGCAGCTATCCATCAAAGCCAGGGAGGGCAAGAGGCTCATAATTTGCAGCTATAATCACAATGATATCCCAGCTACACAATGGTGATTAAAGGGGCCACCAGCCAGGTTACATGTATATTGGAGCCAGATCAGCGACTTCACTTTTATCTTCTGTAATTAAACCATATAACTTAGTCACCCACCTGCCCCCAGCCAGTGAGTAGACAGTGAGGGAGCAACAGCAGAATAAATAGGTCTTCACTGTCCTTTCTCCTTTTGTGTCATATCCCTTGTCAACACATGTAACTGTAGCAGAGCCTTATATACTGACCCTTTCATTATAATCTTTGCTGTTGTGTTAGGAGGAGTATATCAAGACAATAAACATTGATTTTTCTAATACTTGGATAGCTGCATTAAATTGCACAGTTTAATTTTTGATCTGTCTTTAGTTCAGCTGCAAAGGAAACCTGTTCTGAAGAAAATATGTAAGTGTCCATTGTTGACCATCTTCTTAAAATGTTATTTGCCTGGTTACCTCTAGTTTTAATACTGGTTCTGAACTGAACATTCAACAAGAACATTTTACGAAGGGGAAGAGGATTCATTTTCTGGTCATTCTTTGTTGACTCCAAAATGAAAGAAGTGGACTGAGCCAATCTCCATTGAAAATTAAGCAATCCAATAACGTAAATCAGGCTTATGTACTATGATGTCGCTAAGAAAGAAGCAGTGCCCAGCCCATCTATCTGATAAGACAGGATGCCCTCTAAAGTTCATGGTAAAGCGCTGTGCATTTTTATTATGACACCTAATGGGGGACAGAAGCATTGGTTGGTCCTCATCATTGATTATCTAGTCTGAGGACTGTGCTATGATATTCAAGGATTATGAGGAAGGTGTGGATCATGGTTTAGATTTGTGGGCCACTGATCCACAATCCTGGATGCCCTCTAAAATTTATGATAAAGTTCTGTGAATGTTGATTATGGCAACTTATGGGAGACAGAAGGATTGATTAGTCCTAGTCATTGATTATTTAATCTGATATTTGTGCTATGATACAGTATAATGATGTTGAGGGAGATGTGAGGTAGGCTTGTGGGCCACTGGCGCACAATCCTTTGAATTTATCCCTCCTTTAAGGGTCCTTAAAACATTGTAGCCCCCAGTCATAATACCTGTATTATTCTAACCAACCATGGTAATGGGTTTGACTCACCAGCTTTTTAGATGCAGTATCTTAATCACAACTACAAAGTGTTCAAGCCGTCTATCTATGGAACTGCTAGATCAGAAAGAAAAACTAGGAATTCCAAACCCCATAAAACTAGGAATTCCATGTTTTTTTTCCTCTATACATAAGCTAACCCTTTTATTCCAAGGACATTTTGACATTTTTTATCTGTGACTCTTCTTGCCATATTAGTTATCTTCAGAGAAGTATTTCAGCAGTGTTATCCATTTCTGCAGTAGTACGTTACCCCATTGTGAGCTGAAAATTCACAATGTAATGCCAAGCTGTTCGCTTTTCTGAAGAATGGAAACAAAGACAGCCTTACAAAAAAAAAGTTGGCTCAGTGTTTGCTCACAAATTGAACTGTTATTAATATCTGAGCCACATAAAAAGTAAATCACAGCTTTGAAATCTGAGAAGCCTGTTCTGGATTTCGTTCCAAACTGCACATAACTTTTGTGAATCATTTTCAGAAATGTTTATAAAACAACGAGTTGGATCCACAGCTATATTCCACTCACCATCTCTCTAAGGAACTTTAGTCTGATTCTAAAGCAGGAGATTGTTTTAAGATGAAGACTTCCTGAAATCACTTAAAATGGATTTTCAGCCAAACCTTTTTTTTTTGTTGTTCTGGATAGGGTGGGGTACATATTTCTAGTGCCGTCTTTGTAAATGCTAGGTAGTTATCCCCTTGCTTCCTGTTCCATTGACAGGTGTCAACGGAACAGGAGATGATGGGAAATATTTCCAATGGTAACATTAACATCAGAGTGAACCTTCCCAGCTCAACCTACAAAAAAAACCCTAATTGGCCTAAGATCCATTCTAAGCAATTTCAACAAGTTTTCTTTAAACTTTTCTCAGGGGTTTTGTAATGCCCCTAGGTGTCTCCTCTGCTTGAAGGCTAAAGTTATAGTACATGGGTGAGTTTAACCACTTGACCTCCAGAGGATTTACCCCCCTTAATGACCAGGCCTCTTTTTGCTACTCGGCGCTGCACTAATTCAACTGATAATTGCGCGGTCATGCAATGCTGCACCCAAACAAAATTTACGTCCTTTTTTTTCACACAAATAGAGCTTTCTTTCGGTGGTATTTGATCATCTGTGCGCTTTTTATTTTTCACGCTATAAACAAAAAAAAGTTTGAAGAAAAACAATATTTTTTACTTTCAGCTATAAAAAATATATAGTAAGCTCAAAGTTGGTTATAAATTTAGGCCAAAATGTATTCTGCTACATGTTTTTGGTAAAAAAAATCCCAATAAGTGTATATTGATTGCTTTTTGTGAATGTTATAGCGTCTACAAACTATGGTATAGATACTGCAATTTACGCCATTTTTTTTGCTATACAGCACTGTGCTAGTTTAACGGACAATTGCGCGGTCATGCAATATGGTACATAAATGAAATTTACATCCTTTTTTTCCCCACAAATTGAGCTTTCTTTCGGTAGTATTTGATCACCTGTGCGGTTTTTATTTTTTGTGCTATAAAAAAAAAGGCTGACAATTTTGAGAAAAAAAAAAAAACAATATTTTGGACTTTTTGCTATAAAACATGTCCAGTAAAAAAAAATTTAAAAATCAAATTTAGTCATAAATTTCTGCCAAAATGCATTCTGCGACATGTCTTTGCAAAAAAAAAACCCAATACGTGTAAATTAATTGGTTTCTGTGAAAGTTATAGCGTTTACAAATGGTGGGAAAGATACTGGGATTTTTAGTTTTTTTTTATACTAATAATGGCGGCGATCAGCGACTTATGGCGGCGATCAGGGACTTATGGCGGTGATCAGCGACTTATGGCGGGACTGCGGTGGACATTCTGACATTGTGGGGTACTGACTTGGGGTCACTGACATCCCCAGTGACACCAATACAGTGATCAGTGCAAAAAAAAAAAAACACTGACACTGTACTAATGGCACTGGGGAGGAAGGGGTTCACTTTATTTTTCAGGGAAGGTTTATCTGTGTCAGGGGAGTGTTTTACTAGGGGGCAGGGGTGTGTACTGCAGGGAACACCACTGATCGGGAGAGAGAAACTCTTCTGTTCCGGTCAGCATGTTCTCGAGCTGTCAGGGAAGTGACAGAAAGCACAGCTACTCAAGCTGTGCTCTCTGTCACTGATTGCCGCCGATCGCCGGGAGATAGCCGGTAAGGACCAGCTGTGACCCGGCGACTGACATCCATGGCTGTGATCGGCAGGACAGGCAGGGCGTACCTGTTTACAAAACACAAGTTTTAAAATGTGGTTTTGCCTGCCCGTGCCACCCTGCCAACGTATTTCTACAGTGGCAAGGCGGCAAGTGGTTAAGGTGTTCAAGCATAGGACTGAAATCACTAAGGAATAATTGCATAATCAGCAGAGTGGCAAAGAGTCACTAAACAAATGGATCCCTATTGTGCAAACTACACAAGTAGCATGGAGTAGTAATTGATCCTGCATTTTTTTATTCCACAATGCTTTAGTTGCTTCTGATTAACTACTGCCACATTCTACTTGTGTAGCTTACATCATAGGCATTTGTTTAACCACTTCAATACCGGGCACTTTTACCCCTTTCCCGGCCAGGCAATTTTCAGCTTTCAGTGCTGTTGCACTTTGAATGACAAATGCGTGATCATGCAACATTGTACCCATAAGAATTTTTTTAATTTTTTTTAGACAGATAGAGATTTCTTTTGGTGGTATTTAATCACCACTGGGTTTCTTATTTTTTAATAAATTAATGAAAAAAGACCAAACATTTTCTGTATTAAAATTTTGCAAATAAGTACTTTTTCTTCTTCACTGATGTTCGCTGATGAGGCTAGACTGATAGGCAGTATTAAACTGCACCGATGGGCACTGATGAGGCTGCACTGATGAGGGAGCAAAGAAGGGCACTGGTGAGACTGCACTGATGGGCACTGATAAGCTGCACTGAGGCACACTGATGAGGAGGCACTGATAAGGCAGCACTGATGGCCCTGATTTCCGGCATTGATAGGCAGCACTGATGGACACTGATGGGGCTGCACTAATAATCAGGGCACTGATGATCACAGCACTGATGGACACTGACGGGGCTGCACTAATAATCAGGGCACTGATGACCACAGCACTGAATGGGACACTGATGGGGCTGCTCTAATAATCAGGGCACTGATGATCACAGCACTGATGGACACTGATGGGGCTGCACTAATAATCAGGGCACTGATGATCACACATGGGCACTGATGGGGCTGCACTAATAATCAGGGCACTGATGATCACAGCACTGATGGACACTGATGGGGCTGCACTTATAATCAGGGCACTGATAATCAGTGCCCTTATTATTAGTGTAAACCATGTACTGACAGTATTGCCGGTTATCAGCTTTCCTGTCCTCACACAGACACAGCGTGTTAGGAAAAGACTGCTGACAACGGCAAGTCTGTTTACATTTGATCAGCAGTGATTGGACACAGCTGATCACATGGTAAAGGGCTGCTGTGATTGGTCTTTTACTCCAGTCTGTGATTATTTGTGTCCAAAGGACACAGTGGTCACAGAGCATGCCCAATGCGCACCCCGCAGCTGTCATTCAGCTATAGCTTTGTCGACAAGTGGTAAAGCTTGCTGTTTTGGAAGAGGTAAAAAAATCCAGTCAGTAATCCAAACAGCAGAGGAATCCATTAAGAGGTTTGGTTGGATTGTGATTGTTTTACAAGGGATGGGAGTCATCATAATTGGTGAACATCAACATGCTTTATTTCACAGCTCAAATTTTCCACTTCCTCAGTTTAAAGGTAAGGAATAAGTGTTTTTCAATTCCTGGTTTCCAGATCCAGCAGAGAATACCTGTGTGGACATGGAAACCAGAAAGTGGAAATCACTTGGGCATCACCCTTAAACTGAGGAAGTGGACCATTTGAGCTGTGAAACTCATCTTTCTGTGAAATTAAGCATTTGATATTCACAAATTATAATGATTTTGATCTATCCCTAGACACATCACAATCCATCCATGCATCTTAACAAGCACCTCTGACTTAACAACAAGTATCTCACCCCCTGAGAGCCCCCACAGGACATAAGGTCAGGACCCCAAAGGCATTGAGAGTGACCAATTATGTCCTGTGTGGAAAGAGGGATATCCTCTGCTTACGCCCATGGAAAGTTGCATACGTCACCCAATATGCCGGCTGTTTTTAGCACAATACCAATAAATTAATTTGGACACTTTCATCTTTTGGTCTGGTGCTCCTTCCACATATAGATGTTTTTTTTCTGGTGTGTGTTTAGAGAGCTGGGAGGTTTTTGTGATTTCATATTTACTGTCATGTTAGCACAGAATAACCAAATACTGTTCATCAATCAGAACAATGGAGGATCATATCTGAATACTTGTTCATGGTTATGGTTGATATTCTTCGAATTGCTTGTTGCCTATCTGAACTCATTACCAATCTTAGCTATAGTCTATACCGCACAGAGGTCATCTATAAACATAAAAGAGTCATCTGTCTGTGGTTTACTCCACATCACTTGACCTGGGTTTTATAATAATATTATCTATTGAACTTTTTTCCAAGATTATGCACTCAACACACAATTTTCCATACATCTCTTCCAGCTGGCCCTGGTCAGCTTAATATTAGGCTTCTCCTCTTATTTGTTTTTTTCTGAATGGACATTTGCGGTTGGCTGCCATCCATTATTGTATTCAGCAGTTTTCAGTCATTGCTGTAATTATCGAAACCTTCTATTCAAGGTCAAGTTTTAAAGTGAACCTGTGTTTTCTCAATTCAAAGTAAACCAACAGGTTCACTAAAACCTCTGTACTCTGCTACTTCTAAATTCAGTTTTACTACATCCTGGATCACATATCTGCTGTTTGGATAGAGGTGATGAGGCTGATTTATTGTCCAGTGAATAACCCAGAGGCAGAGAGGTGATACTTAAAGATAAATAGTTGAACCAAGAGATAAGTGTGTCACCTACCTAGCTGCACAGCATGTCAAAAAGAAATGATAAGCCAGCCTGTAAGGAGTTGTAAATCCTTTCAAAGGTGAAATGGTAACTATGTGTATTATTCAAAAAACCAAACCTTTCTTGTTTCCACAATTCAAAAACCCTTGTCTTTTATTCTCTCTCCCTGCTAGCACAGAGACAGAGTTTCAAGGGGATACTCCCTTCTTTACTCTCTACCATTTGTCAAACTCCAGTAGACCAGTACCATTCCATCTGTCTACATCTAATTCAGATATCCACCAAATACCACCACTAATTCACCTCGTTCTTCCTTTAATTTTCTTCTCCCTTCTATAGATGCCAACTCCAAGAACCTTTAGACCAATGTATGCTTTTTTACTGCAAAAGAAACACTCTATACATTTACGAAAAGCAACAAAGGCATCGAATCTAACAAATCCACTAAAAAAAAAAATTTTTTAGAACATTGTTTTCATATCCATGAAAAAAAAAGCATATTCCACCTCTTTAAAATGGGTGCAATTCGTATGAACACACTTTTTTTTGACTAAAGCAGCTCTAGCTGCAATACTTACTGTAAATCCTACTGTTCTCCACAGTAATTAATTTAAGCTGGTAGAAGTCCTCAGACAACCACAAGTCAACCTCGGAGCAGGGGCGGACTGACCATTCGAGCACTCGGGCACTGACCGAGGGCCCAGGGTCAGTAGGGGGCCCCATGAAATGCCCCTGGTACCTTTTTATAGACTTTTTTGGGTGTGATTTGAGTGTGGGCAAGGACAAAGAGGCTCCATGATCCCATAATGCCCGGGGGCCCCATGAGTTGTCAGTCCGCCCCTGCCTGGGAGACCAAGGATCCTGTGATTGCAGGACATCCAGTAGCCACTTCAGGGCTGGTTCTAGCCTGTCCGATGTGGGGGTGCAATAAAAAATTTCAACAGGGCAGAGAACAAGGGTCAGGGCTGGCTGGTCAGAAGACAGGGGCACAGCTCTTTTTCCCATCCCTGAATTGCACACAGCCTGGGCACAGGCAGAAGAACTCCTCCTCCCCACACAATGCAATGCAATCTGAAATCAGCATAGTGTCAGTCAAGGACAGTATGGTGTCAAACTAGGGCAGTAAAGTATCAGATTAGGGTGTGATAGTGTCAGATTAGGGCAGCATAGGGGCAGGTTATGGTTGTGTAGTGGCAGGTTATAGTTGGCTTTGGGGAGGCACAACTAAAATCTGGGGGCGCATAGCCCACACTAGCACCCCCCTAGATCAGGCCATGAGCCACTTATTGAATCACACTCACTCACAGTGTACTGGTGCAGAGAGAGGAACTGATGTCACATAATTTACATAATTGAGGACCTCCTTCCATCAAAGAAAATCTAAAAAGAAGGAGGACATAATATATCATGCCAATAGATACAGTATGCTTAGGGTTTGAATTCTCCTTTTCAGGAGGGGTGAACAATGGCATGTGGGAGAGGGTAGTCCAGAGATGGACTGTAAGGACAACTGCCATTTGCTCAGTTAATCATGAGTGATGAGCCAAACACCCTCATGTTCGGTTCGCGGTCGAATATTCAAACCTAATGAATGTTCGCCCGCAAACTTCAAACTTAAGTCAAGCCCATGGGACTCGAACTTGTAAATTCAAAAGTGCCCAGTTTGAAGGCTTGTTTGCAAGTTATTGGCCATAAAAGGGGTATGGGGACACGGGCACTGCCCTGAGGTACATGAACCAGTGAAAAAAAAAGTCAAAAAGTACTGTTTTTAAAGGGGCAGTAATTTTTCATTGCTTAAAGTAAAAAAAAAAGAAAAGAAAGAAAAATCCCTTTAAATATCATGCCTGGGAGGTCCCCTTAAACTACCTGCAAAGTTGAACATCTGTACAATGTATAGAACCTACTGCAGCAGGATTGACATTTTTTCAAAAAAGTACATTTTAATAATAATAAAAAAAAACAGCATGCCCCCCCCCCCCCTCCTCTCTCAATCCATACCAGACAATTTAGGTCTGGTAGGAAAATTAGGAGGGGCCCCCTGGTAAAAAAAATGTACCTTAAAGGGCCTGGTAGGACTTTTAGGACGAACCCCATCAAAAAAAATTGAGGAAAAAAGCGTGGGGTTC